TAAAAGGCAAATCGGACGAAGATGTATATGGGAGCTATATATAAATTTTTACCTATTATCTCCAATTTCATCATGGTTCGTCCTTGGGCCAAACAAATGGTTTGTGCAAAATTTCATCTGGATCGGGCAATAAATGCGAACTGTACTTTGCTTACAAAAATACATGGACAGACGGACGGACGGACATGCATAAATCGACTCAGAATGTGATTCTATGAAGATCATCCAAAGGGCGATGTCCGTCCGTCTGTCCGTCAGTATGTTGTAATCACGCTATTTTTCGAATGAATTGAGATAGAAGTCCAAAATTTTGCACACATTTTTATTTTTCCAGTAGCCAGGTTAAGGTAAATGGGTCATGTAGGTTGACGTTTTCATATAGCCCCCATATAACGGTACCTCCCAGTATTCGGTATTTTGATGATTTTAGCGACATTTTTTACCGGAATTGTTTCAAATTACGTATTTATATTTCGTTATGGAAACTACAGCTGTGACAGAAAATTGTCTATCCTGGTCCAGGTCTTCGTATAGGCCCCATATATCAGTACCTCCCTATATTCGGTATTTTGACGATTTGAGGTACAATACCCATCGAAATTGTTTGAGGTGTGGTATTTGAAGACAGAAAATTGTCTATGCAGGTCCAAGTCTTCGCATAGCTCCGATATAACAGTACCTCCCTATATACGATAATTTTGATGATTTTAGCTACATTATTCACCGTTTGTTTCAAGTTTCGAATTTGAATATGGTAATGGCTTATGACAAACAATGCCTATGTACGTCCACGTCGTATAGACCCCAATATAACGGCTATATTTGCTATTTTTAAAATTTTAACAGAATTTCCTAAGGATTTTATTTTTTGAAAATTTTCAAATTCGTTCCAAATGGTGAAGTTTCTTCAAAGTTCGGCTCGTCCGAACTTGCTGCTTTTTAACTTGTTTTCCTCTTGAAATGATGCCCTTTAGTGGTCAAGATATCAGAAGGAGTCGATCGATATACATCATCTTTGCACTAGCATTAATGTTGACATGTTAAAAAAAATTGGAATGTGCATAGTTTGAGGCGAATAATTTTGCAATTATGGGTTGTTGTGGCTTTTACAAATATTGTGTTTTATTTAACATTCATCTTTTTTTCTAATTTGTTGTACTTTTATTTATGAATTTTTTTCTCTATACCTGGTGTTGGCATAACTGTTGGAATACATAAAGTTTGAAGAATGTCGGCAATTATTTTCACAATTTTTGGGATTTATGTTAATTGAAGGAAGATACAGGAAGGGGTGTGTCGATATTATTCATATCTCGATCTAATTAAATAAAAAAAAACAACTTATTGTGTTTTTATAAAGTTTATTTGACATAATAAGACTCCAGTACAGAATTGTATTTTCCTAGTTTCCTTGAAATTGAGCAACCTTTCTTATTGAGCCATGTAAGCACCTATCTTCGAGCTTGATCTAAGTTTGACAAGCATATTACAATGTGAAAAGTTTGGACCAAAATTGATACACCCTTTGGAAGTTTTAGCCAGCCAAAGAGACAGGTTTTGATTTCATCATCACAACCATTTCATTATACCCTCAGCCATATGGCTACAGATGAGAATTTCATTAAGGAGATTTTGTGGATCTAGAAATGTCCGCCTGCTTGTCAACTTTCGAAGGAGTCCGATGTGATTTGGCCCAAGCTAGATGCATTTCTGTCTAAGGTTCAGAATTTTCAATAAGTATTGGAAATAAGTAAGAAATGTTTTCAATCACCTTATCTGTCAATACCTCCTTAAACCATAGATCTTGTGTGAACATTGCACTTATCGACACACTCCTTCTGGTACCTCCTCCCACAAAACTATGTAGGTCCAGTCTTTATAGTACGTTCTTGAAAGAAGGTACATATAAATGGTCAAATGCATAGAATATATATTCTCAATTGAAATATTGAAAAATTCTGGCAAATATCTCAACATCTCATTCGTGTTCAGATGTAAATAATTTTTTGTAGATGTAAGACTTGAAACAACCCTCTAAGCAAGCAACAGTTGTACAGTGAATAGTGTGTTCAACTACAAATCAAAAGACTGCCAAATCAATACCTTAGTACCTTTCTTGAAAGCTATTTCAAAAGAGTTGCTACTCACTGAACCAAATTTCCTCACATAAGTCCTAATGACCTGAATTTTGGTATATCTAACCAAATTTAATTTAGAAGCAGGTACATCAAATTTGTAGAAAATCGGTTCAGATATAGCTATAGCTCATATGTGATTTAAGTCCCACACATGCGTAATATGGACTTTACAACAATGATATTTGGTACCAAATGTCAGATATATCCCAGAAATACCTCTGCCAAATTTTATAAGGATCGATTCAGAATTGGATATAGCTCCCATATATATCTTTAACCAATTTCTGGTTAATTGTGCGCCAAATGGTCAATATCAGTCCAAATGACCTGAATTTTGACATATCCGACCGAATTCAGTCTAGAAGCAAATACAACAAATTTAGTACCCCAAATCGGTTCAGATATAGCTATAGGTCCCATATATATGTTTCATCCTATTTGGTTTTTAAGTCCCATTCGACAACAATGATATTTGGTACAAAATCTCTTATAGAGTTCAAAAATACTTTTGCCAAATTTTATCGAGAACGACTAAGATTTGGATATAGCTCCCATATATTTCCTTAATCCGTTTTAAGTTTTAATGTGCATATAATGGCTAATATCAGCCAAAATGGAGTGAATTTCGTGACATACGTTTCCATTTTGTGGAACTCTCCCTCAAATGTATTTAAAATCGATTCTGAATTGGATATTCCTTCTATATATTAGTTCCCTCTGAAACCAAACTATAACTGATCTAAAACCAAATATTGGTAGGTGGTATGATCTACTTGAAATAAATTCTTTTATTGCGGGAGCTCTACCAAATATACACAGTGGTGTAGGGTATCATACAGCCGACCCCGCCCGACTTTTGAATTTTCCTTACTGGTTTTCAAACAAATTAACGGTACAGTATTCCAATTGGATAATAATTACTACCTGTAATTTTATTACAAAAATATATGAACAAACCGACATACGGATATGGATAAATCGACTCGGAATGAGCTTATAAGGTCATTAAAGGGATGTATAGATTTAACTCGTTTCCTTACAACATGTTACAACAAATGCGTTAATACCTAATACCCAGTATGGCGGAGTGTATAGAATATTCATGTTATACCCTCAGGCATATGGCTTTAGATCGTGTCTCATCGAAATAACGGTTGTAGAGCCTGTGTCAAAATTTGCATAGAAAATAATCTTTATGTTTGTGTCGACCCACTCCATAAAATGCGAAATAGGCATTCGAATTTCTTTAAAATTTTTTTTCTTTACAAAGCTATGGTGAAGATGGTAAATATGGGTGCACTATTTTCGGTACCTCCTACATAAACTTTGTATATCTCTTTCTCTAAATCAAAGATCTTATCATAATATTGGTAATAAATATCTGATTTTCTTTAATGTTGCATATCATATCAATTGAATTGGAACACGTTGCCCCAATATATATGGTACCTCACGAATCTCATAAAAAGTATAGTCGATATAGTCGAAATCGGGCACGTTGTACTATAAATATCAGAGTTAGTTCGGATAAAAAGTGGGTAATACATAAAGGGTCACCATTTTGAATAATCATAATGTAAGTCAAAATATATTTTAGTAAACTGTCGGCAAAAAGGGCTGATATTTTTAAAATTTTCGTAGCATTAAAAATTCACCCAAAAATATCATGAATTTCACTCTGGTGTAGGTTACGCACACATTTTTTACAGCATATAAATCAAAGCCATTATATATTTTCTAAAATCTCATTAAACTAAAATTAAATAAAAAAATAAAAAAGATTTTAGAGTTATTTCTCTGAATATATTCAAGCAAAGCCAAATTTGTTTATACATATGTAAATATTATTTTATGATAATTATGTATATACATTTACGTACGCATAAGAATAACTAAGTTAACTTAAACGGCAGTTAGTATGTAAGTAATAAATATTCATCAAAGGAAATAATACAACAATTATACAACACTAACATATTCATATAAACACTAGCTCATACATATATTTGTATGTATATTTATTACAAATCAAACATCATGTTATATACACAATTCTTATTTTATGGAGTTTGTACAAAAATTAACTAAAGAAGCTAAAATTTCAAATCTTTTAAATTAAATTTCTATAGTGCTCGCAATATTTTAGATAGAGAATTAAATCCATGATTTTACTCATGGAATGTTTGGCACATGGTGGAATTATACCTTTGACAACATTTCATTGTCAGAATATATATTCTTAGATAAGGGCCTAATGCGATATCCAGCCCTACTTAATGCCCGACGTACGCCTACGATGTTTTTTCTCGACAAAATTTGCTGTTAACGTCTTATATAAATAGTATCGACCATAAAATTTTTCAATGCTTAACAAATTTAACTTTGTAGATAAAGAAATTCATTAAATAATTGACATCGTAAAAATAAAAAATAATAAGAAAACTAGAAATAATTTAACCCTTTTAGGTTTAATTTTTAATAAATTTTTTTCCAAATGAACACATAAAAAATTCTCAAAATTTAACCCATAGTTCAAAGAAGCTTATTTTTGTATTAATATTTTCTTTATTACTTTTCAATCAATCCTTAAAGGAAATATTACATAAAATTACACACATATATACATACATCTAACATTTGTACATACATATTTACAAAACTAACGAACTAAACATTAACACTTGTAACACATAAATAAAAAAAACGTTTTTTTAATACCATCAAACTAAATGATATGTCTGAGATTCTTTTCTTTTTCAAACTTTTTCACTGCATATGCTTCAACAACAAAACATGACATTGCCACACAAATACACAACACACATCTTTTTACAATACACCACTTCCCACCCAATTGAGCAGCGAGCCATCAGCATAACCATTATGTGGCAGCACCACCTACCGGCCAAGAATTCAATATTTATGGACGCCATCAGAAGCTGAACGACGAGGAGGCGCGCAAGGCTGCTGTTCAATTGCAGGAAATCTTAAATATGCTGCCTGATGGGAAAACTGAATACACTGCCTCCAAGACTGTGGCCTTGGATCCCTCAAGTTTTAATACCGGTTATGGAGGGTATGGCCAAACCGGATCTGGAGATCAAGTTGATTTAAATTCCCTTGGATTGCCAACCAATCTGGGTCAATTGGAGTCACTTTCTCACACCGAATCTATAACGGCTGCATATGCTGCTGATATTTACCATCAAATGCAGAAGCAACAAAAACTCAGTCCCGAAGAAAAGTATTTGCAAAAACATCCCCAAGAGGGCTATGATTACAAGCCAGCAAATAATCAAAATTCTGGCGGTTACAATTACAATGCTCCAACAGGAGCGGGTAATTCCCCCAATGATGCTCTAAAAGATTTAACCCCCATCATCGCAGCTTTGGAGGTGGCCAAACGTCAAAACCCAGCCCAAGCCACGGTTTCGTATGCTGTGGAGAAGAATGTCCACAAAGTTCCTCCAGTAAATAAGGGCTCGCCATTTATACCACCAGCTGTTAAGAAGACCAAATATATTTACTATCCACCCACACCATCCAGATATCAGGAATTTCACACTAACGAATATAATAAGCCGGCCTATAACGGTCCCTACAAAGTGAGGCGACACATTCCCGACACTCAAATGATGACACGCCGCAAACGCAAGGCACCTTTATTCAAGGCCCATGACTATGGAAATCAGGAACATTTAATATACAATCCCATAATGGGGGAGTTTTAGAGGAAATTTTCAGAGAGGGAGAGAACCCTTTTGTATTGTAGTGCCTAGTCTAAGTCAATAAGTTGTACTTTTGTAGATTCCTGTGTTGCTAATATGCATTTATTTATTTAATTTTTTTATTTATTATGTAGAACATACTACACATCTATCGACGCACATCTTATATTTCATTAATAAATCATACATATTATTTATTTATTTATTTAAAAAAAAAATATATTAAAAAAATATATTAAATTATAATTAAGCATTTACGCAATCCAAAACGAATGAAATACTTGCACACACATTTTATCAATGGAATATTTTTTATTTATGAAATTTGTTATCATTTTTGCTTTTCGCACAAAAAGTATTTATTTACACCCTTTTGTTATATGTTGCACAATGTTCATATTTATATGATTTTTAACTTTCCCTTTTTTGCACCACAAGCTTTGTTTTGTACGTATTTTTTTCCAACGCTATTCTTTTAATTGTGTAAGTGATCTGACCTTTGCATTGATTTGGTAAAACGTTTGAATTTTCATGAAATGCGCAATTATCGATTTTAGCGTGGGAAGGAACTGATCCACGAATCTTGGAGAAGTTAATCAACGCACAATAGAGGCTGTGGAGGAATGTTGAACCCATTTGAATTTTTATCGGCTGTAAAGTGTCTGCATATGAATCGTTGTTACCTATTTCATTATTAAGATTAATTTTTTACTCAAATAAAAACTTTGTTCCGTATTTAAAATTACCGATTTACGAATTTTGCTTTAAATATGTAATTACTGAATATAGTAGTGTACACTGCAATTAAGTGTGCAAGTGGTATTCCAAATGTAAGAGGTATTTATTCTGGCTAAGCCATCAAATCAAACAAATCGGGGGGAATTTACCCACATTGGCCGATTCTTCTTGTCAAGACCTATTTGATATTGATGTCAATTGGAATTACTCTCTTACATTTTTACTTCATATTCGGTATTTTCATGATTTTGGTCGATTTTTTTCTCTTACTTATCAAAAAATTGGTATTTAGATTTTGTAAAGAGTATGTTTTACTGTAGCCCTCATGTAACGGTATCTTCAGATATTAGATATTTTATCGATTTAAGCAAAATAATCTAAGAGATTTGTCTAAAATACTGAATTTATAGTTCGGAATGGGTTCTAACCCCGGTGATAGAACATTGAATATACATAGGTCCACGCTTTCCAATAGCCCCCACATAACGGACCTTCCCGATATTCTGTATATTGATTATTTAGTCATATTTTTTTTCGAAATTCTTTCAAATTTGTTATTTACAGTTTTTAATATGGGTTTACCTCCTGTGGCGTTGAAAGGGCCACGTTTTCCTATAGCCCCATATAACAGATCCTCGGAATTTTGACGATTTAGGCCTGTGGAATTTGTTTAAACTTCGGTATATGTAGTTTTGTAGAGTTGGAAGGATAAATATTAAAAAGAAAACATAAAAGAGCAACATAATATAGTTTTTAAAAGGTCCATAATTCCATTTAACTTTAACTTTTATACCCACCACCATATATTAAGTTTGCCATTCCATTTGCTACATTTCGAAACATACATTTTAGACACCACAAAGTATATATATATTCTTTATCAGCAAAAATTCTATGTCGATTTAGCGATGTCCGTCCTTCTGTCCGTCTATCCGTCAGTGGAAATCACTCTAGCTTCCGAACGAAATGAAGTAGATTAATAAAATTTTACTGAAATGTGTATTATGTCTGCAGCACTTTTGGTATAGAAAATGGTTCATAGCCATCATGTAATGGTACCCCCCCCCCCCCCCCCTCTCCTTGTCGGTATTTTGGTGATTTAACCGACACTATTCACCGTAAATGTTTCAAATTATTATTAAATTATTAATTATATTAAATTATTAACCGATTTTTTACAAGTTTCGCATTTGAATATTGTAATGGCTTATGACAAAAGTTGCTTATACAGGTAAACGTCCTCGTATAGACCCTAATATAACAGCCATATTCGTTATTTTTAAAATTTTAACTGATTTTACTTTATTATTTTAATTTTAGTTTCTTTGAAAATAGCCAAATTAGTTCCAAATGGTGGAAGGTATTCAAAGATCGGCCCGGCCGAACATACAGCTTTTTTTACTAGTTTTTCATATACTGATTACTCTTAATTGAAGTAATATAAGAGCAGTGCTAAATTCGAAAAAGCCCATATACACTTTTCATTCCCTCAGCTATATGGCTGCAGAGGGGATATATAATTTGATACAGGCAAAACGAGACTATTCGAGATAAAGTTTTTAAACCTAGGTCTCTTCGGCCGTTGCTCTGGCTGGTGTTACGCACAATAGCTCTCGAAGGAAATATCCGATTTGGTCCAAACTTGGTGCATCGTAATATTATTGTCTAACTTAAATCGAGTTCCAAGTTTGACAACATAGGTCTATTCCTTCTGGTACCTCCCCCACAAAATGCCAACATTTTCAAAGAAAATAAATTACCGCAATTTTGTGCAAATTCCAATATTTTTGTCAGTACTCGTGTGTAGGCCCACTGAACCTGGTACTTCCCCACAGTGTCAAAATACTGGATAATTCTTGCTGATAAAATTGCATAATGTGCAAACTCAAAATTGCTTCCTACACCCGCTCTTATACATATATTACATTGGAGTCAAAACAGTTTGATATCAACTAATACAATTTACCAAAAGGAGCCAACTATATTGTTGATTATCGCACTTAATCTAAACTTCCTGTAAGATATTTATATCAACATGCAAAAGTTATCTATGGGGACTCAATCTGCTAATCGAACCTTAATGTGAAACAAATCGGACTATAAAACAATTATTTTTACAAAAATATGTCACACAAAATAAATATTTATTTTCTGGAAATTAAAAGTCAATAAGTTCCTATATAATGACTTTTTTAGTTCAAAGTCGGAAAATAAGTTGTTATTCGATTTTTATTGGTAAAATTAACAGTTTATTTCGTGCATCATACTCTTGTTTAAATAATGGGTTGGTAACCCAATTTGTAATGAGTATTTTTGCTGGGAATTATTTCTGATGGTGTTCATCGTATTAAATCGTCTCTTCTGGTTGGTAATGGGGATTGGTCTACCATCCATATTGTACCATATTGTACTTCGTTTTTAGCGGATGCCAAAAGCATATTTAGGGGCAGCCTTTGTTATGTTGTGGAGTTGGATTATTAGCCAAGAAATTGAAGATTTTATGTAGATCCTGCTTATAACCAAGAAGGAGGTCATGTCCATAGGTGGGGCCTTCAAATAATTTTCCAAACTTATTTGGAGACGTCCACTTGAGGAATGATTATGCAACCTGCAGCACTTAGTACACCTTTTTCATATTTTTATGTAATTCTTTAAAGACAAAATTAAGACCCATCATCGATTAAATCAATTTATAATATTTTTTATTTAATTATACCATTCACCATACATAGTATCGAGGGTATATTAAGTTCGTCACTCCATTTGTAACTCATCGAAATAATAATTTTAGACCTAACAAAGTATATATATTCTTGATCTAAATTCTAAGACGATCTAGCCCCGTCCGTCCGTCTATTGTAATCACGCTAGAGGTAAAACGATTAAGATGGGCATTTTTCACAGTTCAGTCTTTTGTTTGCAGGCAGGTCAAGTTCGAAGATGGGCTATATCGGTCCACGGTATCGCATAGCCAAAGATATTCGGTGTTTTGATTATTTGTATTTTACCCAAATTTTTCAATGGAATTGTCTGAAAATTCACACAAGGAGTTCCTTCTGAGTACTTTGCCCCCTGGAAGAGAATTGTCTACATAGATTCACGATATCGTATAGCCTATGTCCAAAAACTGTGTATGCAGATTCACGTCTTCGTATACCCCCCATATAACGATACCTCTCGATATTCGGTATTCGAATGATTTTGGGAACATTATTCACCGGAATTGCTTCAAAATTTCGCATTTGTAATGGGTACTACGATAGAAAATTGTCTATGTGGGTCCACGGCTCACATATAACCGCACCTCCCTTTATTTAATATTTTGTAATATTAGCGGCATTGGTCACCGAAATTGTTTCCAGTTTGATGATATTAGGGAAATTTTTTACCGGAATTGTTTCAAATTTCGTTTCCAGAGTTCGTAATGGGTACTACAGCCGATGACAAACAATTACTTATGCAGAAACACGTCTTCGTATAGCCCCATACAACGATTTTCATTTGAGTGGTTATGTTTCGACCGATTTTTTTTAATTTTCAAGTTCCTTCTAAACTTAGCTGATTATTTACTTGTTTTTTCTATGATTTATTTATTTTTTGCTTTCAATCTTTTGGATAAGTTTATTCTAAGCTCAATGTTATCTAAACATTTGATTAACACTTTAATATGGGCCGCCTTAAAGTATGCTTTTCAATAATCTTTTTCTGCAGATATTTAAAATTTAAAATGATATTTTATTACTTACAAACGATTGCATACTTTTAGTCGTTCTTAAAAATTGTACACTTGTTTATGTGTTATGTTCTCAAGAAGGTTGTGTAGAGTTTATGACATCCTTTAAAAGTTTTAAAATTTGACATCATTGGATAAATGATATTGAAAAGTTTTGTTATATACGAAAAATTTTGATTGCATTAAAAATTTAATTTCAAATAATCGAAAAATACATTTAAAACGAATTTCGGAATTTCAGACAGGCTGAATTTCAAAATATTAAACTGAGAATATATTTATCTGTATGATGGCTTATGGGAAATCACTATAACAATTTCATAACTGTTTTACTATCCGCCAATGGACAACTTTGTCTACACTTACAGTTCTTTTGAGTATATATTGTGTTATTAAGTAAATAAAACACATCATGTCTGTTTGGTTACATTTCCAGCTGTCATTTTTCTTCTGCTTTTTCCAGCAATTTCTAGTTATGATGTATTTTGCAGGAAAACTGTAAAAGTCAAATAGATGAAATTCATGCAGAAACTTGTAAGAAAACAGATTTTACTTCCGCAGAAAAAACATAGCACGTAAAAAGGCTGTACACAAATAAAAAAAAACAATAAAGGAAGAATTCCAATCCAATTCTGCAATTTTGTTCTCCATAAATCAAAACATCTAGGTGTCCGAATTTAAAAATAGAACATTTTTCAAACTTTCTTCCACAAAAAAATCATCAGATAGTCAAATAGAAAGAAAAAGAATTGCAATTGTTTGCTGAAAGATATTTGTCCCGTAAGAATTTTCAAACTACCTATAAAAGAACTGTCAAAATTTCTCTACATAATCGCTCTCTTTAATTTAACAGACTTCCAGTAAAAATTCGCAACAATTGTTACAAATTTTGACTACTCTTGTTATTTTATTTTTTGCTTTTCAATAAGCAGCTTTGTTGTTTGCAGTAGCAAAAACGCTATCCTGTTAAAATGTAGATAAATTGTCGACAAACTTTCGAAAGCTTTTAAGTTTTCAAAACACAGAAAATTATATCATCATAGAATAGCAAGCAATGTTTTTACTTTTGTTGTTGAAGAGAAATACCCAATGTACAAATGTAATTTTTGATTTTTCAAAATCTTCATTTGTTTATTTTATTTTTGTTACAAAAACTAAACAAACAAAACTTTTCATCAATAAAGGATACAAATATGTCTGCTGAATTAATTTAGGATTTAGAATTCTCTAGTTGTCAAAGTTTTTGTTTGGATTCTATCAAAAAAGAAAATAAATTTTGGTATTAAATTATGTATTGTATTTGTTTTAATTAAATACCAACTAATATCACTCGCCTCATCCGTTTAATTTAATTACATTTATTTTCTTTTTGTTTCTTTTTGCAGCTTATTTCTATCAGTAAATAAAAAAATCCTTGCACTCCAGTTCCAAAAGTCTGCTGTTCGCACTCCCCTTAGTACCCATCTTGAAAAAATTTATCTAATCATAAAATTAAAAGTAATTAAGCATGGTTTGTGTATCCGATAGTACGATCAACGACTACATCGACATTATAGTGTTAAGCCTAAAAGTATGCAACAAGTTTATGCCATTTGGAAACGTTGTTTAGCTATTGGCGATTTTAGTATTAAAAGCAACATATGAGGAAGAAATGATGGATAATTATTATACATTAGTGTTATTTGCCGACTTGATTATCACATCCCTTCAGTCTGATCCTGTTCCAGTTCGTTTGTTACGAGTTAAGTATTTATTGCATCCAGTTTCCTATTGCAATCTTCCTTATATGGTTATAAAATTATGTTTTGTATTATCCTTTTTAAATAAATAAAACAATTTATTTTGTAAAAATATTTTGTAAATTTTTATTTTCTCTGAACAGAAGGTAATATCGGTTTTATTTATTTCAAACTCACTATCGAACACCATATTGTTATTAGTAGATAAATAAGCTCATCACAATTTTACTTACATATTGAAATAATTTGCATATAAAAAATAAGTATAAGAAACTAAATGTTGCCAACATACATACGTACACTTATTACTTTACACACTCTAAAAACACTGTGGTGCAGGGTATTATGTCTTTGCGCATGTTTTAAAATTAATTTAATTCCGGATATAGTTAGCTAAAATATAATCCGGAAAGTCTTTCAAACATATATAAATTAGACTCTAAATTTAAAACAGAAATAAAAACAACTGCAATTTTCAGTAGTTTTTCTAACAAAATGCAGTTACTTAAAAAGAGAAAGTTCAAAAAAAGAAGTATTTCCGAAACACAACAGAATTTTTAGAAGTAATATAGTCGAAAATCACTTCTGTGCAAATTTTCGCAGCGTTTTCCTTGAAGACAGTCCTAAACTAAGAAATTAATTAAAAGGGCTTCTGGCAGATAATTTGCTATAATAATTGACTATATATTTTTGAATAGCCCTATATAACTGTAACGCCTTATGTTCGGTTTAAATTTTAGCGGCATTGTGTAACTTACATTTTGCAAGTTTCTTCCGTTCCAACAGTTTTTATTTTTTATACCCTGAGCCATATGGCTAGTATATATCAGTGAAAGGATAGTCCGATTCTACTCCATCTTTGCAAATCCTAATATTTGCATAAGGGCTATAATATCGGTTCGCTCCATCAAGTACCGCCCCCACAAAGGGTCCAAATATTGAATAATTATAACTCATATAAAATGTGATCTAAGAGTCCGATTGTCTTCAATTCCGGACCATTTCTTCTAGTACCTCCCCCACATATGGTTGAAAATTTTGAAAAACGAAACGCTCAAACAAAGCGAAGTAAGCATCCAGTAAATTTCACACATACAAACATTTTTGCTAACACAAGATCTGTTGTGAAGATGTTATATATCTTCGAATCTCTTCTGGTACCTCACCCCCAAAGAACAATTTTCAATAATTTTATGAGTCATAACTTGCGAATGATTCTTTACAGCTTGGTATATCTAAATATTTCTCTCAACCAGAAACGCGAGATGAATATGGATTCGCATAAAATTGGATATAAATGTTCGATTTTCTTGTAATTTCTCTATACCTACATTTTAATCTGTATTGGATGAAGTATGAAAAAGGGATACTTCAGTCTATTATATCTGGTACCTTTAACATTTTATAAGGATTACCTCATATCTAATACAAAGTGAGGGAAGTAACCATTTATTTATTTAGCTCCGATACTATATGGACAATATTGGCCCGTTCCTTCGGAACCTACATCGTAGAGGGTTAACAATTTGAATAATCATAACATAATTCAAAATATATTGAATTCATCGAACATTGGCTGATTCCAGATGTATCCCTTCATCCAATCCCAAATTTATTAACATTTAATACTAATAACCAACATAATCTTGATCTCCCCAACCTAGACACCAACAGTGATCCAAAATTAGTACCATTTAGTACTTTTCTAACAATTATAGTAGCATTTCGAAACCCCCCAAGATCTCCATACCAGGTAACAACCGAGACCTCAATAGCAAATTTCCGAATTCCAGATTCATACATTTTCTCAATGTCAAATTTAGTAACAATTAGCCCTTTTTTGAAATGTTCGAGCTTATTTGCAAGACCGTTCTATATCCCAATTCCATAGAAAAAAAATTCCAATATAAAATCTCACCGTTTCAGATCTATCGTTTCTTCCAATACCAAATTTAGTTAATTTTACTTCTTTTCGAATATCTAAATTTCCAAAACCAACTACCCTTCACCCACTACCCAATTTAGAAATTCTGAATATACCAATAAAAATAATCATTGTACATATATGGAATTGCAATATTCTGTATTTTCATTGAATGAACGATTTTCCACATAAATGAGGTATAGAATTCCCAAAACTTCAAAAGGAATTTATGATTTTTCATATCAATTAATTAAAACATATTTTTTTTTAATTTCACCACAAAAATGGCAACGTCCTCACAAAATACTTTATTGAATAAACAATGGATTTAGTTTTTATGGTAAGATTGTCTCGTACACGAAATATTGATGATCAACTTATATTTAAAAAAAAAAATATTAAACTCAATAACTGTAAACACAACATAAAATCTCTTTGATGACTCTACAAGACCGATTGATTGATCAGCATCAATCATTCAACCAACACGACGTTTCATCCCCGTCTAATAATAACCAAATGAAATGTCATGCAATGGCTGAGATGTGCCCTCGGGAAGAGCATAATCACGTGCTAGCTGGTCTAGCAGACTGCCACCACCTCCGCTGCTGCGACTTTGAGGTTGAGGCTGTGGATAGCGGGGTTGTTGTACAGGAACGGCTTGAGGAACTGGCCGGGGTGCTGGCGAGGGTCCGAATTGGAATGGTTCCAGAAGAGGTCGACCCCCCGAAGCAGGTCCCAGAAAACCTTGGGCACGAGCACTGGACGGAGATGGAGTCTCAGGTGCTGGGGCATAGACGGGTCGTGATATGCGGAGATTCGATGAACCACCAAATGAGGTGCTCTGTGAGTAGTCCGGTTCAGGTCGTGCCACTTTTGGAACTGGAGAATAAACAACATCTGTGGTACGTTGGGCACCGGGTATTTGAAGTCTGGGTGGAGCAGGTCCTACAGATTTTGGGGCGGGGATACTTTGGGGAACATATTGGGGTCTACGTGGAGGCTCTGGTTCGGATTCTTCATCCTCATACTGAACGTATTGTGGTTGAGGACGGGGTTGAGGTGGAGGTGGCGGTGGTGGAGGAGCAGGTCTGTACTGAGGTTGGGGACGATTAATGCGCTAAAAAGAAACATCGAAGTTAAAAAAAAATTGCTATTTGGCAATATATCGGGTGCTCACCTGTGGCCTTTGTGGTCTATTTACGGGTTCCTCTTCATAATCGGGCTCTGGTTCACGTCTAGTTTCGTCAACTAATGTGGGCGGTGCCACTGTTATACCCTCACCGGATGGCTGGAATCCATATTTGTTGGCACCATATTCGACAACTCGTACTTTGCCAGTCTCATCAACATAGCCGTATTTACCTTTAACCTCACCGGTGGCCAATTTGGTTTCTATTTTGAATGAACCATCAGCACCCTCGTAGCCATATGTGTAGGAACCATCCTCGTTGTGTCTAAAATTAAAGAAAATCAGATTTAAACATTTTCCAATGTATATTGCATTTATTTTACTTACTTATTAATTTGCTTTAGAATGGGTACTGGTGTTGGCCTTGGCACTTCTTGGGCCGTGTTCGGTCGCAGTCTTATGGGTGCAGGTCTTGGTGTATTTTCTTGATAGTCTTGATAATCTTGTGCACACACTGTGACACACAATATTGATAATATCAGAAAACGTTTAAGCTGAAATGACGAAAAAATATACCCATGATTATGTGTTAGAAAGTTACAAAACGGCACATTAAATTCAAAAAACTAAATGCATAAAATCTTTATTTGAATCGCGACTACGACTCAAATGGTCCAACCGCTTAGTTCAATACATATATTAGTTCACGTATAAATGCTTTTATGTTGACTTCCAATGTTTCAATTGAAGAGGGCTTGTCTAGGCGGCCAATTGTCCTGTCTCAAACGAGAAATAACATTTTCACTACATTCACCTCTCAATAAGACCAATGTTATAGACCCAGTTTAAAGTCTTTGACAGTACACTAACTAGACGTACCCATAGGTATTGAAATAGAACAAGGAACACAAATACGATTAATTAAATAGAACAAGAAATACCAATAGGGTTTACCAGAGTATTCAATTGGATATAGTCCGAAAGATGATTTTATTTGTGTTATCCGGAAAACACCTTACGTTGTCTTGTTACGATTTTATGGTTACCAAATTGGTGTTAAACCAAATAGCTATGGAAAGTACGTTTTTGGAAAAATGCACATTTCCTGAGAATTGACTAGACTTATTTTCAACACTCTTATCATAGAAGTACCAATGTTGACATAAATATCTGACTTTGTCTCGAGAAGTGAAAATTAAGATATAATGTAACTTTAAAGAACTTTGCTCATTGTTTATTGTTGCAAAAAACAAAATACATTTGAACAATTTTTCTATCGATAAAATTTGCAGAACTTAAGAAAAATTTAAATCCCATCCGCAAGTTTATTAAATATATTGTTATTATCTGAAGAAAACATTTTTGTTTGGCCTTCATTTGTATTTAAAACAAGTAAGCAAAGGCTATTGTCGTGCGGGGCCGACCTTGTGATACCCTACAACACTACAATTTGGTATAATTTCCCTTATGTCCAAATCCATTTTTGAAATATTTCGTTTTCTTTTTTTTCGTTGTGTATTTTGGATATCGTCTCTAAGTTATTTTCAGCGTTTCGGTCGAATGGAAATGTTGGTATTTTTTCACACAAAGGTAGTGATCTATTCTATTTGCAGTCCTAACATCTAACTTCATGGGAGATTTTGTGTTCTTTGGTTACTATTCGTGACTTTTATAACGGCTGCAAAATCAGGAACATTTTTAGTTGTTGGTACATTTTAACCCCTAAATATATTGCCGACATCTTTAAAAACAATAGGCCTAGCCAGTGTTGCCAACGTGGAAACTGCATATTACACACAGAGGCTGAAAATATTACACATTTGAGGAAACATTACACATGTATCAAATTTTTTTGATAAAATTTAATTTTTTTAACGAAAATAACTATATAGCCCAAAAATAAATATAAATTCATTTTATATCAAATCATAGCTAAAAAATATAATTATGTATAATTATATAATTTTGCTATTATTTTAAGTGCTTTATATTAGTTTGCTTAAGTCTGGGGTATCCCCTATTGGCTTATTATCTTCGTATGACTCTCCATTCAAGACAGTACTGATTTTCAAAACGAAACAGAAAGTTTGCAACATTAGCTGATTGCTACCAATATCATGAATTCATATCGGCGAAGGGTGTGGGCACTTGTTTTTTAGTCTTTTTGGGCTATTATATTATATATTATATCTGTTAAAAAAAAAACACTTTAAGTGTCGAGCAATCTCCAGTGAATGAGAATCATACTCACTTCTTGTCATACTCTCCTATTGCCTTTCCAGAAATGAGCTTAATATTCTTTCTGTGGTAGCATTTGGGGAGGGAGGAAAAAGTGTTAAATTGTAAAACAAAAAATTACACATGAACTAGCTGGCCCGGTCCGCGTTGCCAGCCCGTAATTTTAGTCTTTAATGCTATTATATCATCCACCTTGAAAAGGAGGGTATATTAACTTTTCATTCCATTTGTAACATCACTAAATGTTCGTCAAAGACCCCATTAAATATGCATATATATTCATAATCAGCATAAAACTCTAAGTCGATTTGTCTGTCTGTATGTCTGTTTGTTTAAATTACGATACAGCCCACATTATTTGACGTATAGCGTCAAAATTTAGCTGAAAATTTGTATTGTGTATAGGATGGTTTGTATTGAAAATGATCTATCGGTTCACGTTTTGGTATAGTCCCCATATAACGGTATCTCTGGAAATTCGGTATTTTGATGATTTTTGCCACATTTCTCCTCGGATTTGTCTAACACATATAACGATACCTACCTATATTGGGTATGTTGATAATCCACACATTTACGCGTATAATTGTTTCAAATTTGGTATTTTAGAAGTTTTGATAGATGACAATCCTTGAAGTATAATTTTTTACTTCTTTTTAAAGTAATATGAACCCATAATTTCCATATATTTTATCATAATATAATTCAAAGACTATTAAGCAAATGTCCGGTTCCTTAAATCATATGATGGTTATACAAAACGTGATCAGTTTTTGCATAGATGGTTTCTTCCCAAATTACCAACATTTGCCGAAATTAGTATGAAAATATGGTTAAAATGTAAGATATACTTGAAATCGGGTTGAATCCTTATCCGGGGGTTATGGCCCATATCATGAACTGCAAAAGTGATTTAAGGTATCGTGAAAGTTTAGGAAGAATTTCTGAAAGAATAGAAATCCTTTTCCCTTCATATTCGGTATTTCACTGATTGCAGTCCCAATGAATTTTGCATATTGAGTTCTCATTGGGCGGATTATTGTCATGTGATAGAAGTAGGTAGGTCCACGTGTTGAAATAAGCCCCATAACGTTTTGTCGGTTATTTTTGCTTATTTAAATGTGTTCGCATCTTCCAGCTGAAGCACGATGTAGATCCTGGAGTTGAAAGCTAAATGCAAATTTCAGACATGAAAGATCGCCATTTAACATCTTATTGCGTACTATTTCATTTTTGATATTATTCATTCAGAATTCAAAACAATAAAAAATGTACACTTCTATATAGTTTTTAAATTTAAAAAATTTCACACCAAAAGGTTTTATATTTTTATTCGCATATTTTACTCAATTTTTTTTTGCAAGATTCCATTCCGAAGTTGTATGAATTGTGAAAATCCGTCAAAACGTTCTTGAGTTATAAGCATAGTAACTAATAAACAAATTGAAAAAAAAAATCTTCAACTTGTTCGCTGGTTTTTTACAGCCAATATTTAAATGTCCTTACGAAGTTTGGACCTTACTATTATTTTGAAATCTGATTCCATGGAAAAAATGTTCTCAGTCTTTCCCTATTTTAGAGTTTTTGCAGTGCAATATGCTCTTTTTTGATTTTTTAGCAATTTTGGTTTGACCACGTTAAATTATTTTGGCATCATCTATTCAGTTCCGCCACTCCATAATTTTCGTCGTTTCTACTACCCAAAAAAACTACACATCATATTAGAATACAAAAAAAAAAAAAAAACACTACAAATGTACATTCCGAAATAGTAAGTCAAAATGAAAAAAAGCATGTAAAATAAAACATTACTATTGTACACTTCAAAAGTCTAAATGAAAATTTTAAAATTTCACATTTTTACGCGATTTATTGGATTTTATCCTTTTCTGCCAAGAGACAATTCCGAATTTGTGTAAATCGTTAAAATCAGATGAGCGGTTCTTGAGTTATAAGCGTAGTAACTAACACAACTTCCTTATATATAGACAGATTAAAAGTATACGTGGTCAGTTCCCTGGCGCCCAAAAAAAGTCCTAAGTTTGGAGGGAAAGTCAACAGTATCTCGTGTAATAATTTTCAAACCGATATCTTCATTATCTGGCAAATATACAGATTTTAGATAAATCAAGATAGTGGGCGTAAAAGTAGGCGTGGTCAATATTATTTTCTTTAAAAACCTAACTCGGGGTATGACGAACGTTTGTATAAAAAATTATGCAAATCGGTCCAGGCGTTTTCAACTGATTCCGTTACCAACAAACAACAATTGATTTTTATATATATAGATTACACATGAAACTAATTGCACATGGGCTACACATGCAACAAAAAATTACACACGATATGTGTAATTACACAAGAGGTGGCAACGCTGGGCCTAGCCCTTTTGAGCGTAACTCTACCCTTATGAAAATATTTGTGAGGATCGGACGATAATTGCAATCTGCATATAAAAACCCCAACTTGTATTGTAAGGTGGAAAAATATTACAAAATATACACTTCAATATTATAAGTCAAATTGAAAGAATCGCATGCGATAAAAAATATTAAAAAATATCACAGAACACTACAAAATATATATATTTCAGATTTTATACTTTTATGCCAAGAGGGCATTCTGAATTAACAAAATTTGTCAAAATTGGTCCAGCCATTCTTGAGATATAAGCATTCTAGCTAACATCCCTTTCCTTTGTATACATAACGGTTAGAATTGACCTTTTCGTCTATTTGTGATTTCGCCGGGATTAAAAATATTCGCGGTTTATTAGAAAATTTGACTTTTATTTAACACAAATGTTATGGTCTATTTCACCCACTAAAGCTCTAGACCCATGATTACTTCCGTCGATTGGTCTATTATTGCGACCTTTAGAATAACTGCAAAATCAGGAAAATTTTTTTTGGTTCATTTCAACCTAACTAAATGTTATGCGATCATCACCAAACGCAATTGGCTTCTATTCTGACCATAACCATTGTCCATGCAAAATTTCGTGAGGATCGGGCCATAATTGCGACCTGTAGCTTAATTACAAATTAACATGGACAGACGGATGGACGGACATACATAGCTAGATCGGCTCAGCTCGGCGAGATAGGAGGATCCATATATATTTCATATTTACTCTATTTTCACATATTTTTAGTTAATTATTTTTTTTGGAAAACCACTGATATGGCCATGAATCTTTTAACATAGTTTTTTTTTAAATATTTCTACACAGATTTTACAATTGACATCGAAGACCACTGTTATGTGAACATAGTGATACCATACATATTTACATACATTTGTAACACTATAAGTA